ATTTTGATGGTATGTTGCTAGAATGTTCTTTAAATTCTACGTTGGATAGTAGAATTTATTTGTTGGATTCCTATGATGGTATAGAACGTTGCTTAAGTTTTTATGAAGCTGTTTTTTCGGGATCTCTATTTCATTTTAGATTGTAATGAAATCCTCTAAATATTGTTTGCCACGTAGGGATGAGAGGGAGGAATTATGGTGTTTGTCACAGTTGTAGAAGCACGAAGCACTACTTTGAAGATTGCAAGAGGAGAGTTCGTTGTCCACGGTGTGTAGTTGGAATTCAGAAATGATTTGTGGTTGAAAAGGAAGGTAGTAACAAAGGTAGACTATTCAGAACTTGCAGTAGCTCTTGATTTTTTTGACTGAGTAAGAACAGAAGAATCAAGTGGAGAGTCGAGTGTCATTAATGAGGAAGTGATGAATTCTTCTGCCAATGAGGAAGTCGACAATTTGCCAAGTATGTTCGAACATCTAGCTCGAATTGTCAAGAACGAAATGTCGAGATTTCATTGAACATGACATTTCACAAAGGAAAAGAGCCCTCGAACGATAATGGAGAAGAAAGGGGCTGGCATGATTATTAGTTATATTCATTCTCGTACCCAAAATAGTTTTGTGTTTGGGCTTGTAATACCGAAAGATGATGAAGAAAGTCGAAGAACCCAACAATTTTCATTTTGGAAGAATGCCATTTTCATTCTTATTTTCATTTTGTGTTTTGCTCTTATTATTATTATTTTTTTCCTTTGGCAAGAAAAGATCAAACTACAGTAGCATTTTTCTTTAGTTAGAATCAGTGAATACCGACAACTATCAAAGGCCTGCCTTTTGCCCAACAATTACAGCTTCCATATTTCATCAGATAAAGAAACCATCAGAACTTATAATATTTTTATTTTGTGCTGGAGCCAAGGTTAAGCAAGAAAAAAGTGGAGACCATTTCGCTGTGAAAAAAGAATTTTATCATCTCATTAGTTGCTTCCTTTCAAAAATAAAGAGAAGAATAAGGATGCCTCTCACTCATACAAGTAACACTCAGAAAACTGTAATCTAGTACTCCATGCATGAAAACCACAAATTTCATTCATCAACAGTGCAGTTTAATCCGATGCTTACATTATATACATAACAAGTCTTTAAACGTAAAAATTGGGAATTGATCAATTAACGGCCAGAACATTTTTTTCCTTCTGTTTTCCTTTTTGTTTCATTCCTTTTTTAGAAGGCACAGAGCTTCAGGAGTTGTAGAGGTTCAAGTTCTGCACACCTCAGATGCATTAAATAGTCCTAACAATCAGTTGATATATCCCACCAACAGGTGAGGAATAAAGTTGAAGAGAGGCACAATAATTTTTCCTGAATAAATGAGGGCAGCATAGTCTTTACACATTTCCAATTGACTCTAGCTGTCGAACACAAAATGTTCCAAAAAGAATTGAAGATGTTCATAATTTATGACAATAAGAATCTGTTACATCTCATATTTTCTGGATCAAATATCAACAGAGACCTTTACACTTCTACAAATTTGCAAATGATACTGGAGCTTGAGCTCTGAAGCATTTAGAATCAGTATGATTTGAACAATATCAAAGAGCAAAACAATATGATTTGAACAATAATTACCATTGGCTGACAATACCTATACAATACAAGATAGTTTGCGAAGTGCCGGGGTAAAACGAACATAAAGTATTTGAACAATAATTACCATCAACAATAATTAGAAATTAAAACAAAAATTACCATCAGCAAAAATGCTAAACTATCCAAATGTCAGCCATTTGACAAAGAAATCATGTCTTCAACTGAAACTCAAAAATTAAAAACAAAATAGAGAACCAGCCACCACATTTTCTTTCCTTATTTTCGAGAATCGGTGAGGGAGTGTCCCTTTTGTAGGATGTAGATTGAAACAAAAGACCTCAAAATAAACCATTGAGCCTTTACCACAACTTCTTGTCGAGTTGCTTGTTCGAAGCCACGGTTCATTGGCCAGGGCCACTTCGTTGGGGAAAATGTGGTAGTAGTATGAAACCGAATGACCTATTGTAGAATATGAACATAAGCACACACCAAATGAAAAGTTGAATGGAATGGAAAGATTGAAACATGTAAACCTAAAGGAAGTAAATATAAGATTTGTTGACGTTGGTCGGACCAAACTTGATGCCGGCAAGTGTTGCGGGTAAGCATGGATTTGGGCGTCGCCCTACATCAAACAATAACTCAATTATTAGCTTCACTCAAAAAATAAGAATCAACTAAATCACTAAAATATACTAACTAACAATAGTTGTGGAGATGCTTCAACGATGGGTGCAACCATTGGCGCATTACTGTGACTCGACGTTGGCCTCTTTCCTTTGGTAGAAGTCTATACATAAACAAGTATTACATATCTATTGTAGCGTAATATTAATAAATTAATTAAAAGACTGACTACCATACCTTAGTTTTCTTCGAAGAGGACTCCAATGGATTTTTCTTCCGAAGCTTCTTTGGTGCACCCTTCCTCTTGGTTGATATAGGATCGCGTACGCACCCGCTGACATTGTCTTTAGATTCGTTGCACTGTGAGGTGAACGGATTACCAACATGTGAAATAATAATACTCCCACTGTCTGACTTTATCGTAAGCAGCTCTTGTTTTTTATTTATTATCCACTCCTTTATTACATGGGATTGCACTTCATCATCGGTAATGAGATTTGCAACATCCGCAAAATCTTGACACAAATCGTCGTATCTCAACTATTCTGGCATACTTACCAGACCATCATAATTCATTGCGAACCTGGTATGTGCTCTACAAATATCTCTCCTCCATTGTCGTAGCATATACCTCTCAGGCAGTGACATGGACATCGTTTCGGATCAATACCATGATAGCATGCCAACATAGAATTTCCCGAAACTCAAACAAGTGTCAACTGCAAATGATTTCACAAACATCTCTTTGGAATGAGACGAAGAAATTTTTTATGATTCGTCGCTCATCACACATCACAAGCTCTCGTATTTCGTAGGTCATTCCTGCAGTACTCTCCGTAGTAAAATGATGTCACAGTAAACCTTCCCAATCAATTCGATTTGAACTTATCTGAACTTTGAAATGGTACAACACTTCTGATACTGCTTCTCCATTTTGAACATTTTGTACACGGTACCATTTGTGAGTATGACTTGAAGTCAACCTGGAACTCCTTCTCAACCTTATTCCTCAGTGCTCGTTCATATTGTTTCACAAACTGCTTCAATGAGATTTTCGCATGAACATACCTATCGAAAAAGGCATTCATACTCTCCCTGCGCTGAGTTGTTGACATTCCTGCCCAAAATGTGGTCTTTAAATAGCAAGGAACCAATGACTTCTATTATAGAATAGTCCTGTTAACCAATCATTGCTATGCAAGTCATATGTCTCGATCATCACTCTCCAACCCTTTTCAAATTCTTCAACAAACTGCGAATCATATAATAACCTATGTATGCTCGAAAAATCGAAGCCTTATCGACATGGAATCCAAATTTTTCTGGCAATTTCTTCAGAATATGCCACAAACACCATCTATGTTTCGTATTTGGAAAAATAATCTCAATTGCATTTTGCATGACTTTATCTTGATCGATAATGATTCCATGGGGAACTTTTTCGTACATACACTAAAGCCATGTCCTAAATAGCCACACAAAAGAATTTGTGCTCTCACTGGACAACAAATCATAATCGAGCAAAGTAGGTTGTCCGTGATGATTAACGCCAACAAAAGGGGTAAAACGCATATCGTACTTGTTAGTTAAGTAAGTGGTGTCAAATGTGATAACGTCGTCGAACTCCTTGTACGCTTGCCAACACCTGTTATTTGCCCAAAAGACATTTCTTAATCAAGATTTATCATTCAAATCTATGTTGAAGTAGAGTCCAGAGCACTGGGCTTGCATCTTGGAAAAGTAGGACTGTATTGCTGCGGCATCTCCTTCCCCAAGTTTTAATCTTCTCATTTCCTCAACATAATTTTGACTGTCCTTTTCCACACAAGTAAGATTTTCATACCCCCTGTTTCAACAACTATAGAGTTGTAGCTTTTGTGCATTGGAATTCTTGCCAAATCATTTACTTCAAGCTTTCGTTTCACATGTGAACTTATCTCCTGATTGTAGTGATACAATCTCGATTTTGAAGGACTTGTTTTATGATTGTGGTCGAACTGGACTTTGTTAATTTTCCATATCCCATAAATACCTGAACATGCTATGATTTTAGCTTTACAATTTGCCTGAATTGTTGGTTGGGATTCAAAGAACCGCTTGTATTAGTGGTTTTTCGGCCTTCATGGCTACATGTGAAGGTTTAAATATTTCATTTTTCCATCATATCCTTTTTCTGAATTCCTTTTCCTAACTGGAAACCCAACATAACATGCATATACTTTATAGAAGCCCCACAATTCTTTCTCATCTTTGAACATCATACCCATATCTGACACCATCAGACCATCTTCTCCTAAAGTTTGCTCTTCCACTGATATTACATTGTCTGCAACATTCTCGTCAACATCTCTCTCCACCAAAAATTCATCATGGGTGTCTTCCATATTTTCTTCTACTGTAACACATTGAGCAACAACATTCAGTAAAACACTTTTCAATTAGAAGTTACAGCATTCAAAGAAAAAAAAATAGAAATATGCGTTAATCAGGAGCACTACATGACCAACCAAAACAGAACACGATCAAAATGAGGAGCAGAAGCCACATCATTTATTAACAGCTGAAAAAATTACCCCGTTTAGACATTGGAACTTGGTCCGCCTTACATCTCATATATAACCTATAAGCACTGAAAAGGTTACTCTGAAAGGCTTCTCCCTAACATCTCATATATAACCAATAAGCACTGAAAGCTTACTTAGCAACGATTTCACAAACAAGTTCAACTTAATGCAGACTCAATTTAATTACAGACTTATATGGAGAGGAGCTAATGCGCCAAGGTTGTTTTAAACTTTTTATTTCTGGTATAAATAACAAGAGGCATTAAGTGGACAATGAAACAATAAAAACATAATGACAGCTACTTGAGATTAGCTCCCCTGGGTTTTTCGGTATAGAAGAAATGTAGATTTCGCTATTGTCGAAGTTGGGTATTACCATCTTCACAGTCCAAGAGTGAGGGCTTCGATTTCGAGGAATGTCGAGAAGTGAGGGCTTCGATTTCGAAGAATGTAGATGCGAGGGCTTCGATTTCACCTTCACCAGATTTCGAGACTTCGTCTTCCCCGAACTTCATCCTCAAATCATACTTTCAGCTTAATTTCACGAGTAGTAATAGGCCGGTAAGAATAATACTTTGGCAGGACTTTTCTGACTTCTTCACGTGATGCTTTTCCTTTATGTTTCAATTCAGTCATTTATTGGAAGTCAAAGAACTCTGCTCCAAGCTGTGGTGGTCACGTGAGGAGCACGTTTTTTCCTATAATTCAAATTTCTGGAAATTTTCTGTCAAGCCTTTATATACAAGAGGTTTTAGTGAATTTGGATAACCTTAATAAACATTGATTGGGACTCATGCTTTCTTAAATCATAAGAGCAGTCGATTGAGTTTGCTTGCGTAACTGTACATTTATCGATATGTAATGGACTATCGACTAAAATAATTGTGTGTATTTAATATTTTTTGAATCGAATTGCCTATATGATAAGAGTGGTCGATTGAGTATGTCGACATAATAATAATGACATTTGTTTTAATTTATCATAGATAATTGACTAAGATCATCGTGTCTATTGACTATGATCATCGCGTTATTTAGCCCATGTTTGACAACCATTAAATTGAGTTTTTCAGGAGAAATGAGTTGCAATAGTGATTTTTGGAGAGTGTGTAGCTAAATAGTAAGGAAAAGTTTTAGGTTTACGAACAGGTATATTATTGTAAGATTATGTGGCTGAAAAAGAATTGGAGAAAAAAATGAATTTTGTTTAAACGATTGTCTAATAGGAGTTTAGTTTCTTTTGACACTTGTAATATGATGTGCATTTTGAATTGTTAATATAACTCTGATTCTAGTTAAGTTAAAAAATCTTTATAATTTGATTTATAATGCGTCGATGATTAAAAAGAATGTAGCATTTTTAGAACAACTTAGGGAATTTTTACAGAATAATAGTGTAATATAAGTAGGAACTCGATATAATAGGAATGTAATTGTCTTGGCACTGTAGTACAAGTTGTATTAAGATATTTTTGACAAATCGATTCTTCTTGTTGGACTTTTACCCCTTTATATATGCTACTTTACCTACCTGATAATGTCAAGCTATACTATCCGACCTTAATTTGTATGATATCACTCATCTTGAAAGGTTTTGATTGATTGAGGAGTTTTGTTGCGGTGGGTTATCAAAATACCTAGGTATAAGCTTGAGGTTATCATGACTTTTTTTTTTAATTAACTGTCAAGGTTGGCAGTGTTGTCTAGGAATATTTTTTCAATGTGTCATGATTATGCTTTCAGATGACGGGGAGTTTTGGATCAAACTTCTCGTACTGAATAGTTTGGTTAATTCAATAAAATGTTTATTTGATCAATACCCACACTAGTATTCAATACTACTAATGTTAGATAACATTATTATTTTATTTATAAGTAAAATAAATTTCTATTCAGATAGTAATATATGCCAAGACATCCTGTTTGTAAATAGAATTAAAGAATAAACACGATGGTTTAAGATCTCAATCAATCAAGTGAGTTTGTTATGTTGTAAATTATAAACGAAACAAGTAACATAGCCTATATAAGTTACAAATAAGGAGACCATCCTTGCTCTGGTGTTTTGATTCAAGAATGTTTCTGAGAAAGAGACAAATTCAGCACTAAAAATAAGTTTGTGTACATACATAATAATATTCACCAATTATACATGTTTATGAACTCATATTATGGGGTTAATTATTTTTATGCACACTAAACTTTGCATAATGTAGCGTTTCACTCACTATACTTTAGTTTGCTCCTCATTACTCACTGTACTATGTAAAGTTGCACTCCATTACTAACTGGATAACTTTAGTCTATGCCAATCTCCTGCATGGATGACGGGTTTGACATGCGGCCGTTAAATAACTCGAAAAAAAAAATGAATTGCCAATTTAGATATTCTAAACACACCTCACCTTTTTCAATATTGAAATCACGAATTGGAACCCTAATCTCTAAAAAATGCTCGAAACATTGTAGTTTCCAAGGTGAAATTTCATAAACGTTGTGAACCTGAACCCGAAATATAACCTCTATCACCTTTGAAGGCCATACCCTGACCACGAATCTTAGGGTTTTCAAGAAGCGCACATGAAGGGAGGAAATTTAGGTAAATTCTATTTTTTTTTTAGTTTATTCTTTTTCCTCTTTACTTCACATACGATGTTTATATGAATGTTTAAAAAATAGTACTTCATTGCACGAATCTAGGAGGTTTCCTATTTTTTTGGTTTATTCTTTTTACTCTTTACTTTATGAATCTTGGGATTTATCTGAATGTTCAAAATATTTTGTTTATTGATTTATCCTTCTCATTATCAACTTTCTTTTCCATCATTATTTTTTGTATCATAAGCACTTGATTGTAGCATTATTTCCATTGTTGTTGTTGTTTGATAGATAAGTTTCTTTTATGGTGCATATTATTCTTGTATACCATTTAGCATAATTGCATCGTCATTATGTTGTTATTGGTGATGGAAAAGTCTTGGTATTGTCATGTGATCATATATTTATTCAATGATTACATGTCTATTATTGATCATTTTTAATGTGGAGGACAATCCTAATTTCAATGATTTCAAGAACGACATATCGTCTGCACCAGATGATATGATATTTGGCACAAATGTGATGGACGGAATTGAGTTAGGTTGTGATAGGAGGCAATCGAATGATAAGAATTGATTAGTGGTAGTGTTTTATAATGAATTATAGGAGGCTGATGATTTGGAATATCCATAATCTGAAGAACTGTTGTTCGGTATGCCATCTGCTGATGAGGTTATGTATCGATTCTTAGAGTTTATGGTTGAAACATAATCCAAAGTTTCAAGTAGAGATGTTAAGGAGCTGATACTCAAGGCTCGAGNACCTACTCGAATTTCTCTCTCTCTTTTTTTTTTTTTTTATATATATATGGCACTTGGCGGTAGTCGAGTGCTGCCTTAATTAAAGTAGTCGTCTTATTATTATTTTTTTAAGGCCTGAGCCCTAGTTGGCAAGCCTAATTGACTTCCCTAGTTTCAAGTGGGTAAGTTATTCAGTTCTGTACAGGAATTTAGGAAGGTGATTCGGACTCATGGTACAGTAAATAGAGATAGTGTAAAATGCAAGGCGAATGATAAAGAAGAGTTCAAGGCATCTGTAAATTAGATTGCCAATGAAGAAGATGGGCTTCTAAGGTGAATAATTCAAAAACATTCAAGCGAAGTCATATACTCCTCAACAGACATGTAGTAGGGATTAGTACACTCATCATTGTAACTATATATTCATAGTCTATCAATACATTTAGCAACTCAAGATAGATTTGGAGTGGAAAACCAGAAGTATAAAAGCAATCTTGAAGGAGGACTTGAAGATAAATATTACTAGAAATGTTGCTTGGAAGTCTAGAAGTTATGCAAAGCAATTGATTAATGGGGACTATTGAAAAATAATTTGTAGCATTGAAATCGTATGCGGTTGAGGTCTTGAGGACCAATCCAGGATCCACAATGACAATAGCACTTTGTGGGCAGGTGTTTGAAGGTACACAGACACATATATTTATTTTAGTGCTTCCAAATTAGGGTTTCAACATGGGTGTAGAAATATTAGTGGATTAGACAAGTGACGTCTTTAGGGTGCTTGGAGATGGTATATTGCTCATTCCAATTCATTTAGATACAAATGATTGCATATTTTCAATTGCATATGTTATTGTCTAGAAAGAAACTATGGTTACCTAGAGATTATTTTTGAAATACCAAGTTGAGGATATTCAAGTGGAAATGGGATTGATTGGACTATGATGATAGATAGGCATAAGGGATTAAGTAATGTTATCAACAAATTAATTTCGGAAGATGATCATAGTTCTGTGTTAGACAAATGCACACAAACTTTTTCAATAAGGGATATAAGAGAAAGATTTTAAAGGACTTACTTTGGGTAGCTACTAAGTTAAATACATTAGCTAACTTTCAGATAATGGATGCAACAAATTTATTAAGTTAGCAGAAAAAACTTATAAATGGTTGATCGAGAGGTCTTCAGTTGAGTGATGTAAATCTCATTTCAGGACATATTCAAAAAGTGAATTTTATTTAACAACTTTGGCGAAGTATTAAATAAGATGCTAATAGATGATAGGGAGAGGTTGATTGTAACAATGCTAACAAATATGCAGTTAGGGTTCATGATGAGTATTGGAAAGCATTGAAGTAAGATGAAAAGGTGCAGAGGGCAATTGTGTCTTAGGAAAAAAAAGCTTGCTAAGATAGCCAAGATGTTCAATGAATGCACATTACATTTCTCGAGAAGGTCGTAGATGGCAGGTGGACTGCAGGTAAGGGACATTTGTTGTTGCTTGGACAACTGTTACACAGTGGATGCGTATTTGATGTGCTACAATAACATTATGAATCCTATTAACGGAATACGATTGTGGCTCCCTGTTGGACACTCGATCCATCGTGCCACCTTCATGGTGTTTTTCGCAAAGGAGAGAAACAAAAGAAAAGGAGGAGGAGAGCGGACGAAGATGTTATCACATACTCACAAGGAAAATTGAATGCTAGGAGGGAAGGAAGGGTATCGATGATCTACTCAATATGTGGATTATAGGGTCTTAACGAAAGATATCAATCAAGGCTTGATACACCTTTTGGTTTAAGTACTTAATCAAAAGTTTATTGCTTATTTCAAATCAATAACATCTGATTAATTTTTTTTCCATCTCTGGAATTAGTATGAAGGCTAGTTGGAGTCAGTTGATAGGGGTAGGCCTGCGTCAGAGGATATAAGGAGACACGTAAGTATTTATAACATTCTTTAGGCATGTGTGTAATTTACTGAGTTTATAATTTTTTTAATTAACGTATATTTCTCTTCACGTACAGGGAAAACTTCTTCCCAACTGGGGGAATGGGGCCGGTTTGAGCCAAGAACAAGAGATAGTTCACAGTTTTCAATTTGTGCCTACCCGTCGTCGAGCAGTAATCTGAAATTGTTGTTGCAGTTGATGGGCTAGCTACTTGGG